TGTATCACTCCTAGATGTAGCTCTGGAAAGTCCTGCATCCCCTGCTTCATTGTGCAAGGAGCCAGCCAGCCCAGCACTGTTAACGCTTCATACAACCAGCCCGGCCCAGCCTGCGCACCACGTTCTTTTCTAAGGCCTTGTAGCAGATGACTCAAATCCTTGAGTCTTCTTCCAGTCTGATTTCTGATTCTGTGACAGTCAGGACCAGACCTTTCCTCCTGTGGTGCAGTAATACAGAGCTTTAAGGTAGTGGTGAGCACCTAATTTTAGATAGTTTAAAGCTGCAGTTAATTTCCAGATTATAAATTGCTATGCCTTTGCACTCTAGCTGACTCTCACTGCTGCGTACCTTTGTGTTAACCCTTGTTATTTGACTAGCTAGCTGTTGGGTCAGACTGCCCTGACCTATCTGATACAGTGACACTGAAACTACTGTGCTTGCATTGACGACTTTCACAAATCTGGAGCTGTGTTCTTCTGCTATTAGCCCTGGGCTGATCTCCCTAAGCTAGAAGAGCTATAAAGGCTTAAGAGTGACACAGTATCCTTAACTGACCTTAGCATGTACTCAGTACCCAGCAGAATCTCTAGTCAGATCAGAAAACACCAAGGCAAATCCAGAACCTGGTGGCAAACTGCTTTTTGTCTCCTTAGACATCATTCTGAGAGTCTTGAGCCTTAAGGAGCCACTTTCATTTTTATTTTTCAGACTGTTCAGACCTGCCCATTCCAATGGATCTCTTGACATTAGGTGCATGTTACCTCCCAGTGTGAGATATTAAAGCATGAAATAGGTTGCAGATGTGTTTATGATGTTGGAGGAATGTTTTTCTTTCAATGTTCTTCCCTTAGAGTATTTTTTTTTTCTAGGAAGGACCGGTCCACTAATATAAACAGAATGTGAAGCAAACCTCATACTCTTCTGAAACCACAAGTCTGGTTTCTGTTTTATGCAAATAAGGAGCTCACAAAAAGCTTTCATGTCAGTACTTAGAGACTGGGAAATCAACCCATGCAACACCTTGTAGGAAAAGCAAGCCTTTGGCAGTTAGCACAGTGACTTTTCATGCATGATCATGGACTACTTGAGCACACCTCATTGTGGACTTGCTGCTGCTAGGAACTGCCCTTCCTTTATAAGCCAGTCCTGGCCTCTGCCCTGCTGCTGCTGCTGTTTCTGTGGGCCAACAGAAAGCCTGCAAAGCTTTGGGTCTCAGGCACTCTCCATCTGCTTGCTCTCAGTCTCTCCACGTAAGCTCTCTTACCTGCCCTTTACTGAAGTGGGGAAGAGAGGAGCAAGGTAAGAAACAAAAATACACAGCCTGATCTGACAGAGAGCTAGCAGAGTCAGGAGTGATAGTACTCCAACAATTGGGACATATGGTCCCTGAAAAGCATCGTCCTCTCATGGGTCTAAGGTGTCAGAATAGTGTTGTCTGCTGCTCACGCCGCCGTGTTGTAAGAGCACTCATGGGTATCCCCGTCCCTTCTGTGCAGGGATGATCAGGTACGCCTGAAACTCTGTTCTTTGGCACATGTCATCTTTCTGTTTTTTATACTGGGGCAGTGGATGGAGGCCCTAGATCGGGGTCAGGGCCCACCAAAGCAGCTGTTTCTGCTTTGGCTCCTCCAGGGCAATGCTACCTGTTGGCTAGTTTGCAAGCATAGGGGTACCGTGTATTTGTGTGCAGAGAAGGGCAGCACTGTACCTCCCCAGGTTTTGCCATGAGGTGGTTTCCTTTTTTTTTCCAACTAGTTATAATCTTTTTCCTGCTGTTTAGCAGTGCTCCCTTTCTTCTCAAACCTTTGCGGTTTTGTATCTCTTTGCGGACAAATATAGTACATCTCTTTGCCAGGAAAATATGATGCATCTCTTTGCTGACAAATATGGTGCAGATCTTTATCAGAGGCTCCTTAAATGCATATTAAAATGCCCCAGTGTACACATTAAGGTCACCTGAACCAATTACCTTCTCTGCACACTGATTCATCGGTTGAAGGCTTTTTATGGTGCTTGCTTAGAAACAGAGAGAACCAAAGCATGATAAACTCATAAACCCTGCCAGGCTGACGCTTTACAGGATGTGTTGCTGCTGTGTTTTTTAATGGCATTTGAGTCATTCAGGCTCATTAATATTTCCTTTACATTAATGTTTCTGCCTGTCAGCAATCCAGTTGGCAGATAACAGTGGCATATGGGACGAGGTATGCATATGATCAGACCTTTGAAAACCTGTGGTAGTAGTCCAGAAATTGTTCTTTATTTCCTTGAAACCTCTGTGAGTTTCTAACCAGAACTGGGCCTTCATGCTGTCACTTCTCAGTTCCTGGCTGGTATAAAGAGGTTGGGTCATATGTGGTTATTACAGGATTTTTAATAACCACCCTCTTCCAGCTATTGTGGGCTTTTTTCCCAGTTAGATTAGCTGAAGCGTACTCCCTTGTTAGCTTTCAGCTAACTGGACCATTGTTAGGTGGAAGAGACACATGTACGCACCAAGCCAGCTGGGAGTGGAGAAGGCTTCGGGGGCTGTACTGAAATATCAACCTAGAAAGCGGGGAAGGACAGAGTATCCCATCTGTGGCTAGGGCTTGTTTTCCACTCTGCCATGCTTGCAGAGAGATCTGCTGTGCCATCTCAGCCCATTACGCTTCATGTTTGGTTTGTGTGAATTCAGACCAAAAGAAACACACTGTCCAAATGGCTGAGAGCTTCCTCAGTTCCCTATTTATCTGCAACGCAAAAGCATATCTTGTTCTGCCCAACCCTGCCAATGCATGTAGCTCCAAGCCGGGGACCCTGTCACAAGGACAGAGTCCACAAGCCATGAATGTCTTTCTGCAGAGTGTGTCAGGGATTAGTACAAAAAGTGTTAGTAAGGCAATGTAATTTAAACATTGAATTTGAACTGGACTGAGAAACCTGTATGTTTCATGCCTGGCACTGAATAATTACTTTTACTTGTTTACCTTTGCTGGGGCATGGCTGGATTTGCACCTGTGGTTGAATAGTGAAAAAGCTCAGTTGCCAATGTACTAAACCAATCTTACACCCTTCCATCCTAAATTGTGCTTTTAAAGCTTTTTGGCCCTCTGATCCAATTAGTTTGCCCCAATTAGTTAGAAAGGAGCCCCAACAGAATACCCTGACTCCCTTCCCCACATGCGTGACTTTGAGCTGAAGTCTTTACTGAGCAGGATACAAATTCTTTGGCCATATGTGGCCATGATGCAGCTCTGGGTCTTGACCTTGTGTCAGCTGTTTGACCATGGAGGCTCTGGGGTGAGACTCCCTCTCTCAAAGACAGTATCTTCCTGGGAGTATGCAGAAACAGTGTGTTTCACTTCAGGACAGGAAGGGAGACCAGCTCACAGCATGCCATGGAAACGTTCACCCTTTCTCTCCCTTGCCTGCAGTGTAGTGAGATTACGGAGCTACCTTAAATAAGCTCTGGCTATGACTCTTATCTTGGCCTTTGCAAACTAGCAGAAAGTTGAAGTGATGACAGCAGATAAGGGTGTTCGCTTTTGAAGCTTATTGGCTGGTTCTCTGGATTTTTTTTTTCCCCTGAAAGCCAGTCATTCAGAGGTATAGCTGGCATAGACCGATTGTTACATCCTGCGGAGACAACGGAAGGAACAAGAGGGGCCAGGGTCTAGAAGGGCAGATATTCTCTCACCAGCCGGCTTAGCTGTGTCACTTGCCTGGAGATGAGACCTGTGTAATATTGTCAGCCATGAGAAGTGTGGACTCATGTTTCCCTTGACTTTTCTTCACCTTAAAGGAGAGCAGAACGGATCCTGGTCATTAACTCCCCACCTCCTCGGCCTTGGGACAGTGAGAAAAGTTCAACGTTGCTTATGGTGGGAGTGAGGGAACTGGGGCCATTTCACAGCAGGCTTACATATTAAACCATCATATCAAAGGCGAGCCGCAGTCTGACAAGAAATGTAACCTGAGGAGAAAGGACACTAGTGCGTTTGAGCACGCTGAGGGATTCTTGCATGACCTGTCACTCTTTCAGTGCTGTAGCCTGAGCAGGTCTTACTGGTTTTTACCGAGGTGGTGGGAGCTGAATGGGGTGTGGGCTCATTTCTATTCGTCCACAGACATCTCCGCAATCTTCTTTTCTCTTTTTTAATTCCCCCTTGGATATAAATCGGAGAAATAGTGTCCATCGAGTTTGCTGCCACCTGGGCTCAACCCAGCTGAATCGGTTTTGGAGGATACCCTTGCTGCAACCCTCTGGGTGTGCTTTTAGGAGGAGAAGAAGCTAAAGCAATTTGGGATCATTGCTGTAGTTTGAGGAAAAGCATTTCTTTTGACTTCGAAGAGAGGTACCAGGAGGATCTGTGTGATGTCCTGATCTCTCCCCATTTGCCCTGCTGAGCATGGGGTAACAGTGTTTGACCATGGTGGTCACCCAGTTACAATTGGAACTGTGCTTCCATGGCAAGAAGCTGAGAGGTTTCACCTGCAAGTTGACCAGGTCAGCCAATGGATTTCTCCCAGAGACTTCATTCTCCATTGCCTCCCAGATTTTCATGCCGTTCCTTCTGGCTGGCTTGGGCATGGTAGCTGCTGGCCTCTTGATGGATGTTGTTCAAGTAGGTACATATAGTTAGGCAACTTTATAGTGAGAGGGTGGGCTAATTCACTGACCTTGAGTATTTTTGCATTTTTGTTTCTAATGTGTGCGGTCCTAGCAGCCAGTCAGCACGATGGCTGTAGGGTTTTCCTGTGCTACAGAGACACTGCCCATTTTCTTTAGATCAGTACATGGGCTCCTTGTAAACTGGGATAGTGGTTTTCAGGCAGGCTGCCTGACACTGCCCTCGCTGCGTTAGACTGGGTGCTCCCTTTACTGTATCTAGCTAAACAGTGATGACTGCTGTGAAGCGACTGGGTTCAGACTGTGGCATATTCCCCTGTTACATGGTATTATTTCTTTCCTTCAGAAATTGCTGATAAGGAGATCTAGGTCAGGATTGTTATTAACTACCTGTCTCACTTAGAGGCAAGTTTATGCTTTCAGTTCTTTGCAAGCAACCTAATGTAATCTTTGGTCTAGAAGGAATTTAGATACTGTGATGAGACAGCATAAAAAGATTAGCATTGCCTACAAACTGAGTGCTTCTTGGCCAGATTCTGAGGTGTGTGTAAATTTGGAATAACTTCCGTTGACTTCGAAGGAGTGCTGCTGGATTTACACCGTTGTGCCCACAACCAGAATCTATCCCATCTGTCTTTCCTTTGTACCAGTGGCACAAATAGAAATGCAAATTTTGATCTAGTTTGGGCATCTCATGCCAGTGGATTTACAAATCAAAAGGCTGGCAGAGTTTCCCAAGGATATATCCTGCACTCTGAGCTCACTAGAGTACATTGGATTCTCTGGTGTTAGTACCACAGCAGGAGCTAAATATGGATACTTAAGTGTTTGGAAAGACAATACCTTGCTGTTTTTTCTTGCATTGGAAGAAACAAAGAAGGCAGAGAAGTTGAATTAAAGGGAATATGAGGATTATCAAAGAAGGGTTAACTGGAGTGACATACGCTGTGTTTGTCGTCTCCACCTTGTGCTGTGCTTAGGCACAGACCTGTCTTGCAGCATTACAGAACTTCTCAAACTACCCAAGATGTTAATAGTTAGCAGTTATCTCGGAGAAGGATAAAGACATAGTATATATCCACTCCATACCCTTGGCAGGTGAATAGGTCTTTGTCTAAAAGAGACTGAATGGACTTGCTAAGAATTGGGCTCTGTTCAAAAACGTAACCGTATCCAAACTGATGGAAAACACAAGCCATCTATACCTATGTTGCACGTGTCCTTTAAATACCAGAGTACAGTCTACTTTGTGTATTTATTCACTAGACTCTTAGAAATGGGGTCATGCATGAAGCACAATAATAGGAAGTGTATTTTTTGGTGAAAGTGTTTCCAACTATGTTGAAATAGAAGCTATCAGTCAGCGGGTTCAGCTCCCAGAGGAGGGAGCTAGTGCATTGAGAGTCACAACTGGCGTAGGAGAGATGTTAGTGAGGCAAGCTGCCATGGTATCAACAACCCCATATTTAAAAACAAAACCAGTAGCTGGGAAAATCCAGAGATCTTAGCCTTTAAAGGTTTGGATTATTCTTCTGTGCCTTTTTGTCTTTGAGCTGCTTATTTTCAGCTTTTCTTCCTGCAAGTGTGAGAGCTAGAAACTCACTGTCCTGTCCAACTAAAACCTGAGACTAGGTTTGTTTGCTTGAGGCCAGGTACCATAAGACTCATATTGGTAATCATGAGGGCTCACGCTACTGAAACTACAGGTTTTTCTAGTCCAGGAGTCTGTGATTTGCCCATTTCTCAGGGGATGGTCTAGCCGAGGAACACTTTGCCCTATTTGCAGCCACTGGAAAACATTCTTAGGAAACTGTGTCTGCCTTTGACAGGAAGATATATGGGCAAGCTCATGGATGGTATCTAGAGCATGCACGTGAGTTTGATGGTGCTGCCCTTGTTTTGTTGCATACAAAATATCTTGAAATAATGTTGTTCTGTGCTGGGAATTCAGCTGATGCTCTGATTTGTGGGGCTGATCTTGTAAAGAGAACAAAGTGGGAATTGCTTGTTTGTGTCCTATCAAACTTTTCAGGATTTTAGCAGTTTCTGACCTGTCCTGGGATGAAACCAAGAACTGTTCATGTTACTGGAAAAAAAAAAAAAAATCAACAAGAGAGATTTGTCTAGCTCAGTTGACTCCAAGGCTCAAACCTGGGTGTCTCATACTGTAACAAAAGGATGCCCAAAGAAATAGCCATTTGCTGTTTTCTCTTCTTGGTTGTGCAGTTGATGCAGTCTCTGTGCAGGGCCGGTAGCATGGCATGGGTCTTTTCTTGCTGGACGTTTCTGCTTCTGCTCCAGAGATCCTTGGCCAGCTGGTTGATCTGGATTCCAGGCTGGCTGACATTGCTGGAGACTTTGCAGCGCCCTGCCAGTGTTTGGCCCACCCTTTTACAGTAAGGTGAAGAATCAGATTGAAACTGGACAATCAGATTTCAAGCCAGAGAATTCAGGAGGAAAGCCTCCCTTTCATTCTCCCCTTCCAGACCACTGCAGTGGGACACAGTCCAAATAAAAGTCACAGACATAAGATATCCCTGTCCGTTGTTGATAAAAGCTCATGAGATGTTTAGCATTGAAAAGGATTTTGAATTGGCTTGTGTTTTATAGTCTAGGGTCTTTTGATCTTTCTGTTGACTTGTTCAGGGCGATGGAAAACCTCTGAGGTTTCTTAGCTGCTGCAATGCAAGGATGCATGCCCTGGAGAGGTAACAGGACATGGTTGGGCCTGTGAGGACAGTATAAGGAGGGACAGTGAGGCTAGACTGCAGCTGGGGAGACTGTCTCAGAACATCATAGCCTCTGTTCCTCTACGGGACCCCATGAGCAGATCCAACTGGCATGGTGACCAGCTGCAGTGGATCATGGGGTAACCAAGTTTCTTCAGAGCTGAGCTTTAGGGCTGTAACTCTATTATGGGGACATGAGGTGGGAAAGAGTCTCTTCCTGGCTCAGTGTCCCTGTGTGGGTTTGCAATGCTGCAGGGAATGTTTCTCTTCCTTCTAAGCCAGTTTTCATCTCGAAGGAGAGAGATGCTTCCTAGACTTAACCCAGCTGTCTTCATTCAGGCAGCTTCTTGCCTGCACATCTCTAACCTGCCACATTCACCTGCTCCTCCAGCTGACAGTCCTGCAAGGCAATGGCACAGGTATCATCTCTTTGTTCTGTATTTCTGCAGTCTCTAACACAGTGGAGTCCTGGCTACTGTGGTATAAATAGTTATGAATCTGTCCTTAGGCTTTTGGTGAGTCACTAATGAGACTCAAATGGAGGCAATTAAGTCAGCTTTTTTTATTAGTACAGTTGTGTGATTATTAATTGTTCAAAGCCTTTCAGTGTAATTATATGTAAGGCAGAGTCCCAAAAAATCATGCCTCATCTGTTGAAACTTATGTTATGATGGCTTGAGACCTGCAAAATTCATCACGAACACAAGGATTGGAGCTTACAGTGATACAGTAAAGCCGTATTTCCCAAAGGTGACATGCACAGAAAATACAAACAGTTGAGTTTTTCTCTTGCTTTTTATTTGTCTTTTTATGTGCAAAATATGTAAGGTCTTAAATATGAATGTCTGCACGCCTGTGTATTTTAAATGATTGGGTTTTTTTACATTGTGACTATGAAGTCTGTTTTTTCTCCTCTTTCTTTTGAAGGTGTCAAAGATGTGTTTGGATCTTTATTCTTAATTAAAGAGAGAGGAGAGAGGGGGATTTGAATCTTTAAAAGAGATGTCCGCCCCTAGCTTTTCTCAGGTATTTAAGTTCCATGTTAACAAATTCAAGCAAAATTGTAGCGTGTCAAATAAGGTGACTATTCTTGTGTTGTCTGTTATTTACTCAACAGTAACTTACCTTTAACATTTTGAAACATGCCTGTTTCCAGGTCACCACTGCCAGAAAGTGTGCCTTTTTATATTGATAATAATGTTTTGCCGGTTTTCTGCACCTCTGAGGAGTGTCTTGCACCACATGCTCAGGGCTGGCTCAGCCCCACTTTCATTCATCCTGACTCAGAAGGAAGCTGTGAGCTCTTCCCGGCAGACAGCCACACCACTGGCTTCCCACAGCTTCCCATGGCACAGCCAGAGCAAAACACCGAGCTGTTACACCCTGTATATATTTCCAAACAGGCTGACAGCTGAGTGTGTCGACATTTACCGAGTCTGTCCAACCTCCTGGACTTTCAGGTTTATAGAATCCCCATGGATGGGGAGAAGGCAGGCAGGGTTCTGTTGTTCATTTTGTCCTCTAGTGCCAGATTTTGGGACCGTCATACAATACTGGCCAGTGACAAGTTAGAATTAATGAACAAAGTGATCCTTCACATGATGTGTGGCTAAACTATGGTAATTTTTGCCACAGGATGGCTCATGGGTTGGAGGGGGGAGATTGGATGAGTACCTGAAAGAGAAATCCTTTGAACACTGGTAAGCGTGCAGAAACCCCACCAGCTCAGTACCCTGTGGCAAATAGTTGTAGGCTGGAAAATACATAGGAGAATTATCCCATCTACCTGTCATACTTGTAGATTCCTGTTTTATACACCTGACTCATTGCAGCTGCTCTTTTTTTCTTGTATTCTGCTCTTAGATGTTGGGCTAGTTGGTTTTACTTCACAGTGAGCTGCTCAGTTCTGTGATTTCAGCCTAATGTCAACCTCTCTGGCTACAGTGGGACTTTGTCAACATCCTTGAATGCACAGGGGGTGAATGGATTATGTTCCAAGGCACTGTATGGTAGATAAATCAGAGAAGATGTGTTAATCAACAAAGTTTCTTAAGGTTTCAGATCATTTCTAGTGTTGCAGCTGATTGAACAGCTTTGTACAGTTCAGCTTCAGAGGAGCAATGATAATCAAGATATTGGCCCAGCAGTTTGGGCTAACGGGATATCTTAATTCAAAATCCTTTTTCCAGCTGTGCTGGGAGCATGCTTGGTAACAGGAAGATTTAGGAACTGCCTGTGGAGAAGAGATACAAAAATCTCCTTCCCTCCCACCACCAGTCTTAGCTGCTTAGTTAGAAGTTTGGTAAAAAAAGACAGACACAAGTTTTTGTTGTTAGATCTTTTCCAGATCTTTGTGTTTATTGTTAGGAGTCTGGATAGCAATAGGCATTCCTGTATGTAGTGTCAGTACAAAGGATGGAGAGCATGCTGTATTTCATTTGGCTTGTGAACCCTAATTATTTTTTGTGTTGTTCTTGGCTAATGCTAAAGGCACATTTTAATTTGTGGCTTTCCAAAATCTGCTGCTGCCCTCAGGAAGAAAGTTCCTTCCCTGTTAGGATAGTGCTTTGCTGTGCATGAGATTAGAAAGAATATTGTGAGCTAAAAATTGCTTCCTTCACCCCCAAAATGCAACCACCCAGGGCAGCATCTGCCCCCATGTTCATAGCAGACACCTGTAGAGCAGGTGGCAAGGTGGGAACCCACTCCCCTTTGAAACAACAACATTGGACTGGTCAGCATCACAAACTGAGGTCATTGGCTTTGTTTTCTTCCAGCACTGGGATGTGTTTCGGACAATTACGGAAGTTTTTATCCTGGTTCCTGCCTTGGTTGGCCTGAAGGGTAATCTTGAGATGACGCTGGCATCCAGGCTCTCTACTGCTGTGAGTGTTAACAAGGTGGTGGTGGTGTGTGTGTGGGGAGCAGGGGGATTAGCAGGAGATATCAGGAGATTCTGGTTTTATATAACCACACTGTGTGTATGAGACATGCCCTTTTCTGCTAAGTAGAAACCAGTGGTGTGTGAATGTTAAAATAATGTGTTTGCCCTCATTTTGTAACTGGAACAGAGAATTTCCATCTGCGCTTTGAAGGTGAATTAATCCCTGGGTGGCCAGTTGCTGGTATTTGGGGCCCTGTGACACATGAAGGAGACAAAGCCAGGGCTCCACAGCTGTCAGCTTCAGTATTGGATTGCTTTTCGGTGGGTATTGATCCTTGAGAGACCCAGGGCTTCCCAGCAATCCTACCTTGGGGGGAGCGGACCGAGGCTTCTTGGGACCTACAATAGCTTTTGCTACTCTGGATTTGATTTCTCCTATCTCCCTAAGCAGTTTTGTTTACTTTGGGCTGTTTGTATGTCTTGGGAGAAATTGGAGCTTAACAGAGCAATTTAGGGGGAATGAAAGAGGAAAAATGGTTTGATTTGTTCAGCTTTTTGTCTGTGTGGGCTGCGGTGGATGCGCCTGCTCCACGTTTAGCTGGGTGCCCTGCAATGCCTCTGTACCTCCACATGAGCCTCTGATACCCCTGGGACCCTGGGCTGGAGGATGATGGAGATGTGTCAAGAAGGAAGTGCAGGGAAGGCTGGGAGATCCTGACCTGTGCTCGCCTCTCTGGCTTTAGCAACCCCTTTCCCACAGGGGCTTCAGCAGCCACCTGTGCGACAGGAACAGGTTTTCAGGGTGTCTCTCTTGGCTCCTAGGCTAACACTGGACAGATGGATGATGCCCAGAAGCAATGGAAAATGGCCACCTGCAATTTAGCCCTTATCCAGGTGAGTCACTTCAACTGGGAGAGGAAAAAGGCCCTTTTCTCTTGCTGTGCTGCAGCCCAACAGCATCTGTTCCCAGCAGTGCTGAATCCTGAGCTGTTGATTTGGGGCAGGTATTCTCAACAGAGCCAAGCAGAGCCCAGGACTTGACCTCCAATAAAACTCTGTGTGGCCCCAAAGCTTGTAGCTTAGCTGCAAAACACATCTAGACATTCATTGCCTTTGCGGACAAACAAATAATGAAAAAACCTCCTTTTGCAGGGGGAGCTGCAGCACAATCCCTGTTTCACAACAGCCCCTAGATAAAGCCTGTCGTTTACTGGCAGTGTTTGGGAATCAGCCTTGGGCAGGAGGGGAGAGATGGGAGAAATGTGACGCTGGTAGCTCTTTCTGCTTGTTAAAATCCAGCAACCAGCCGAGAGGTTGCATGTGGCAAGGCCACAGGGCTTGCAACATGTGTCTGTGTGCTTTCCCTTATCTCGTGCCACAGCTTTCAGCTTGCTAGGAGTGCTGTGTTGATGGGGACCCCATTTTTGTGTTGACCAGGGCTATTCCTTTGCTGATGGACTCGGTGTCCTTTGCTGAAATGTTATCTGTCCTTTGCAGTCCTCCAGAGTCTTTCTCCAAACTTTGTCAGGATTTTTTTTGAGTGTAGTGGAGCCTTACAGGGATGCTGCTTAAATACATAAGCAATCAGCATCTCTGCAAGGCTTAGCTGTGTGGAAATTCTGCGGTCGCATGGAGCTAGGACTGGCTGGGGCAGATGCGGATGATTGCTCACCAGCTGTCTTTTTGCCCCCCAGGTCCAGGCCACCGTGGTGGGACTTCTGGCTGCTGTTGCTGCTGTGATCCTCGGAGCCATCTCCAAGGGCTCTGTGGAGCTGAGCCAGGCTGCTGTGCTGTGTGCCAGCAGCGTGACCACAGCCTTCATAGCTGCGCTTTCTCTTGGTGAGTTGTTTTGGTTCCTCAGATCAAACATGAAGCACTCAGGTGTGGAAAAAACTGTCCCTTCTGCCAGGGAGGCCCAGCTGACATCCCTTTGGTCTCGCATGGGGAGGAGGGATGCAGGAAGCATTAGTCCTATGTCTGCCGCTTCCACCCCCTCTGCATCGTGCCTTTGCTTCTCTTCTCCCAGGATCTGTTGTTCACTGGATTCTCGGCATCCACAGCAGCAATCAAAATGTCCCGCTTCACCTGACATGCGGAAGATGCCACATGCTATGCGTGGGTGTACACACACACACACACTTTCTCCATGTGTTTTGGGTGACACATTAGCCATCTACACTGGCCCTTTCCTAGGGGAGCGTGAACAAATGCCATGCACAAAGCAGGATATTGAGAGTCTGTTAGCAGACAACTCCAGACCACACTCACGATAAACTTGGGTCACCCAATACCCTGTGGAGGATTGCGGCCAGCCCTGTGGCTTGCCTGCTGTGAGCTTTGAGCCAGGCAGTCTACTCCCCTGTCTATTCCCCTTGCAAGGGAAACCTGACAGGGTGGACGGGTAGAAGTTGCTCTGTGTTGCCTGCAAATGATCAGTTTGTAGGTCTGCCATATGAGGGCAGCATGATACCCTGAATAGAGGGAGCTGGCAGAGTTGGATGCAGCAAGTTTTCTAAATGAAGGGGACAAGTTAGACCAAGTGCGTATCCTGAAGCTGGAGTCAAAGGGTGATTGTAGATGCCTTTGATGAAAAACATGGGATGAGGCAGTTGTTAAAAGAGAAAAACAGCAGCCCAGCTTTCATTAAACTCTTCCCTTCAATCTCCCTGCTCAGTGTGATACAGAGAAGCTTTGCTGCCGTACCAACACAGGCTTTCAACCAGCATTAGTTTCTTCCCTGGACATGGTCACAGGCAGCCTGTGTGTGGGTGTGCGTGATGGGAAGCTGTTATTTTTATGACCAGGGAGAGAAGCAGCATGAACTGTGCTGTGGGGAGGGGAGTGTGGGTGTCTGGGAGGGCTTTTGTGTAGAATACCATGTTGTGTGAGAATGTGTTTCTGTATAAGGGATGTTGTACGAGGGAAGGTGTACACACGGCATTTAGGGGAGTGCTGATGCTCCTGTGCGTGCTCAGCTTTGGTGGGCCTGTGTGAACAGGCACAGAGAGGTTGTGAGCTGGAGGGAGCCACCATTTCTCAGGCTTCCTTTGGTGCATCCTGTCAGCTACAGAAGGACTTTGAAGAGATGTCATGTGTCTTGTCTCAAGGCTGCCCTTGCTAGTCACACAGCAGCAGAGGCTGGCCAGACTGGGTTTATTCCAGGTGGCTCTTCCACAGGCTTGTGAGAGATCCTATGGCTGAGGGATTCCTACATGTTCATCGGGGTATGGGGTTTGTGTTCATTAACTTACCTGGGCAAGCAAAACTTCCCTCCTCTCTAACAATGCTGAAAAGCAGCTGAGTTTTCCAGGTGCAGCTCAGAGGACGGGGAAGAGAGGTGATGTGGGCCACCTCCATAACCCCTTGACTCTGGAGCTGCTCACAGCATCAACATCCACCCAGTGCAAATTAGAGCAGCCCAAAAGACTCTGGGACATGAGGGGTCAGTCTGGTGGCCGGGCCGAAAGGCTAATTCAGGCTACTGTAAGGAAGCTTGTTGCTCTTTGGTGGTTCAAACTCAGAGAAATTTTGGTCTAATATGGAAAATATCTTTGTGCTGTGGAATCCAGAGCAGGGGATGGCACCAGGAGGCTGCCGCATGCCTGCTGTCTGCTTATCTATGAGTGCGCTTTGTGCCTGGTCCTGCTTCAAGGCAGCAAAGATTAGGCTGCTCAGGAGGGAAGCTTCTACATTTGGGCTGCCTGCTGGTATCTCCTTTGATCCCTGGAATTTGCTTGTGTGCCTCTGGGCCTTTGGTGCAGTTCATAAGGGCAGAGTCATGCCCTTCGGGTTGGTGAAAGCAAGAGGACAAATTCCTGGGGATGTCCAATCTCCAGCTGCGTGGTACTGCTACGAGCAATCTGCTTCTTGCTTTTCCCAGACCCCACATCCCTCTGGGAACCAGAACGGCAGCTCGGGGTGAAATGCAGCAGGATGCATTCTCTGATGCCTGCTCTGTGTCTTCTCTAGGTCTGGTGATGATTGGCGTGATCATCGGAGCAAGGAAAGTTGGGATCAATCCAGACAATGTTGCCACACCCATAGCAGCAAGCCTTGGAGACTTGATAACCCTTTCCCTGCTGGCAGGAATCAGCAGTACACTCTTCAAATACATAGGTACAGTGTTTAGCAGGGGTTTGCAGCTCAGCTAGGGAGGGATGAATCCTTGTGAAGTTATTGCAGGGCGATTACCCATTTCTGGGATGTCTCAGAATGGAGGCTGTCATGCCACTGGCATAGAAAAATGACAAAAAGAGGCTTTTTCCAGGCTCCCTTTTAGTAGCAAACTGGAAGGCAGAGCCTAAGAAACACAACTGGGATTTGTCAATAAATGACCAACATGTATTGCATAGCTTTGGAACATAAGGTTGACATATGTGCCACTGACTCTATTCCTGCATCTGTTGCTAGCCAAGCATAACTGCTTTCTGTGCATGGGTAATAGCAGGTCCTTCCTCACAAAGCTATTTCAGGGTTTTGGCATTTGTAAAATATTCTTGTATCTTCTTATGTGGAGAGTTGTGGATGAACAAGATATTATCATCTTGGAGGGAGGGAGGTAGTGCTGCATTGTTTTATGCTCACAGGACTCTGAGTAGGAGTTGTGGCTATGGGGTTAGCTGTGCTGCTGGTTGGCAAAGACTTGGGCACCTGTTGACACTGAAAAGCTCAAAACATGTTGTAACTTGGTTATATATGCCTGACTGTTGCATGTAAAGTACTAGGCTATTTACCGTGAGCCTAACCTAGAATAGAAACAGAAAAATAAAAACTTCCCGCAAACTCAATACCATTTGAAACCCAAACTGTTGCTTCAGACTGTGAGCAGAAGCAGTGAGGCAGCTGTTCTCACTTTGTGTAACTCATTCCATACGCCAGCAAGCAAGGGAGTGAAGGAGCACACGTTGCAGGGAGAGGCCCATGAATTGCTTCTGTCGAGTCTTCCTTGAGCTTCAGAGGTTTATTTTTTTAATAGGCTTTTTCCATGACGCCATCACACCTGCCTCTGTAAAGCTAGTTTGTCTTTCAGTCGCTACACCTCTGATAATATCTCCCAGGGAGCACATGGCAGAACAACATGGTAACCTCTATGGTTGTGACCAGAGAGCATTTGTGATGTTTTCAGAGTAGTTTAAATAGCCTCTTGAGATGGAAAATACTCAGCACACAGCCAGCTGGTCATTGGGAGCATAAAGTGAAGAGGGAGGAGGAAAGCACTGTTGATGGTGGTTGAATAAATCCATTTCCTTCCTCAGTGTGTAGTAAGGAACAGGTCATGCTATGACAACTTATGGGTCCTACCAAAATGTATCCTTCAAAAATACCAGTGAGTCTGTAAAGTTTGGAGTACTATGTGCATCTGATGCAGCACCATCTCCTTCTGCAGAATACCCTTTTGCCAATGAAGATTTTCAATTTTTTAAAAATCAACCCTGGTCCTTCCCATTCCTGCATAATGGAGATACAGACTGTGCCAAAGCGTTGCAGCTTGCTTTATGGGCTGTATGTGAGAGAATGTGGCAGAACTGGAATGTGGAGACTGAAGTCCATTCATCCTGCCAGGAGTCTTTCTGTGGGCTTTGATAAGGTTTGATAGACTCCAGTGCTCTGTGTCTGCATTATTTAAGAAGGAATTAATTGCCTGAAACAACAAGGGGGCAGGGCAGAGATCCAGGACAGCAGCTAAGTCTGTCATACAATCCAGCTGTCCTAAATGACTCCAGGTGGTAAAGTGCACTGACAAAACAGCAGCTATTTACACCCCAGAAGTGGTTGCATCTCAGTGCGGACCAAAGCCATACGTAAAGAATGCACCTCTTTGTGTAAGAGCCCTTGATTCATGGAAGGTATCATCATCACATCAGTGCTACCTCATCCAGGTAGCCCGAGGCCCTGGCAATGTCATTTTGAAAAATGCACACTTTGAACCTGCTTCATCTCCCAGATTACCTGCAAAGTCTGCGTTACAACCCGCTGGCTTTGGCCCCAACACAGAGACCAGATGGAGAGCTTTGTTAAAGAAGCATTTTTATATCAAAAGGATTGGCATCATCCCCATTGCTTGAAGGTGTTTCTCATGCTTCTGAGTCATGTTTTCTTTCAGTGCTGCACATCTACTTATTTTTTAATACCTTTGCTTCTAAAGGTCACTTCAAGGTTATGCCCCACCAAATGGAAAAAGCACCTAATGGCAACACATGTAAACTAGGATGAAAAAGACCCTGGATCTTAACTGGCTTATACATGCAAGAGAGCTTTTGTTCCTATAGAGCAGACCAGCTGCTCAGCAATTCTGCTAGCTTGCCACCAAAAGTACCTATTACCTACTGTTTTAGGTGAAAGCATGAGGTGTCTGTCGTAAGTGTGATACAGCTTGCACACAGGAGTTTCCCCCTTGCCCTGCTGTTTGATTTGTACCCTGAAGCCACAAATTTTGTAACTTTTTGTCTTGCTTAGTTGGAGATGGAATTGGAGACTTGCTCATCTTCAAATATAACTTGCTTTGAATCCTGCTGATTTTCAAATAACATCCTCTAGCAGTGAGTTTCAGGGATTAATTACGGATTTCTGTGGTGGAGTGAGGTGGTTGTGTGGGGAATATCTTCGTTCATGTGATTTTTTTTCTGCTAACGTAACAGCCTGAGCGAGAGCCCTGCTGCCTTTCTTCCAGACTTTGTGCAATATGATTTTGACAACCTGTGAAGCTATGGACATTTAATTCAAGATTTCTTTTCCTTACCAGATATGAAATACCTTTCTCCTCTGATCTGTGTTGTCTTCATTGTCATGATCCCTCTCTGGGTTGCTATCGCCAAGCAAAGTCCTTCCCTTGCTGAAGTTCTGAAATCTGGATGGCAGCCCGTCATTGTTGCAATGAGCATCAGCAGGTAAACTGAGGAACCACTCCTGAGCCCACACGCGTATGCACGCTGCAGAGATCCCGTGCTCATTTAGAAAGCCATCAAAAGTGAAACTGGAAGGGACGGCAGAAAAGTATTTCTCCAGTGCTTTTCAGCCATTGGTGGCCCTCCAGCAGGCTGTGAGATAGCAAATAAGGAGCCCCCAAATGACAGGAAAAAGCAAGTCATCATTTTAAATCTCACTTGCACAGCCACGCACCATGTGGGTGCGAGCCAGGAAACTGAAAAGGGAGATGATGACCATCACAAATAGTCAGACTTCAACATTATTTTTATCCAGCTGTAAAGACAGAAGACTGGTGACTGTAGAGCCAGGTAGTTCATTCCCCCTGTGCTACATCTTTCAGATCCAGCTGAGATCTCGGAGAGGATAAAAAACTGCTAAGACCAGTATAGAAGTGTAGCAAAACTTTTGGGGAGGATGATAAAGCTTCCCTGGCTACTATCAGTTTTGCTCAAGGGTGGGCAAGGAGGTCTTCCTGATCTCATTATGCCATTAACAAAAACTGTAAGGCTATCTGTTGGTGAAAACTGAGCTCTAAAAGGAGTAAATGGGGAATAGTCCAGCCCTGGCAATGGGGAAGAAGCAGTAACTCATCTCAGTGTGCTATTTTCACAGCATAGGAATTTCCCTGGGAAGAGAGATTGATCCACACTCATTGCCTGTCCTTTTTTAACAGCATTGGTGGGCTCATCTTGGACAAAACTGTAACTGACCCAAACTTTGAAGGCATGGCAGTTTTCACGCCTGTGATTAATGGTAGGTTGGGCGGGGGGGTTATATGCACGCTTTTATTTATACGTCCCCTTCCTCCCCAAGGGTTATGGTATCCACTGTTGCCCTTACACAGAGGTCTGTGTTCAAGTCCCTGCTCCCATCACGAGTGGAAGTGAAGCTACTGGTCCCCATTATGTCCCAACTTACTCATATCTTGAAGCGTCTCTGGAGCAAAATAGCAGGCAGGGCTAAAAATACTGGCAGAGCTGTGGGAAAGGTTCACAGCGTCTGATAGTTGTCTCCGAGAGCTACGTTGACACCTTTACTTTCGTAACATCAAACCTACTAAGGATGTCACAATATTCCATTTTACCTGTCTCCACTCAGCAATTTGAGCTGTGCAATCATCCCCCATACAGATTGTTGATAAAGATTAATATATTAAGATTATGTATGTGTGTATATATTTAAAAAAAGGTTATATATATATGGATTATATATAAGGATTTTTAATATACATATATCAACATCTTTTGTGTGTATATGTATATTTGTTTGAAGCCTCACAGTACTTTTATATACACAAATACTAGTACAAACTGCTGGGGATCCTGGCATCGCTGAGGATCCACTGGGTTATTTTTCTGCTATTGTAATGTTCTTGCAGGCCAGGCCTGTTCCAGGGGAAACCCACGTTCCTAGGGCAGGCTCAGCCTCATACCGCCCTCAAAGCGTGGTGTCCTCTTGCAGTGTCAGAGGGTGTCACCCAGCTGTCACCTTACTGGATCTACAAAAAGACAGCCACCTTGCTGACAGACTCTTCTCAGCATGGTTAGCCAAAGAGCCTGATTAGGAAAGTATGTCAACAGCATTTAGTTGAACAATGATTGACCCAGACATCTCTCTGTGGGGGTGGGCGACCTGTTTGGCAGAGCTGGTGGCAGAGTTATGCAGTGCTCTGTGTCTTTCCACAGGTAGCTCTTCACTTTGCATGTGCAGGGGAGTCCTGCAAAGCATGGCAGTGCACAATTCAGAAAGCTCCCGTCTTGAGCTTTGTTGAGCTAGTCTTAGTATTTCCACTTTGATTCCACTCTGGCAAATCTCGCATTTAATGATGGAGCATTTCCTTCTTCAAGGAAGGGAAAACATGAGAAGCCCGTAGGATCTGGCTCACCATTATCTTTTCTGTGGCATTTCTACCCTGCAAGTACTCAGGGTGGTGCAGGTTTGCTCCTTAGATCATCATCCCTCTATTTTCTGCTGGAAAACATAGCTGCTTTTTCATGTTTGCTAGAATTAATCAGTCTGGAAGGAATTAATTGCCTTTTAATTACCTAACATATTTGGGCTCTGATTCATTCTCATATGATTCCTTCTCATTTAACATTAACAAATGTGTTAGATGCCTTCAGACAGACATATAATTGCTCTCTGTGATGTTTGTTGTCTTTTAAACAACAATGGTTCGCTGGATGAGTAAATCCAAGAAGTGGCCGTGAGCAGCATCTGCCATTGTCTGTGCTGCTTTCCCCAGGTGTTGCTCACAGACTGCATTAAACCAGATGCAATTGCATCATCTTCAGAGGCCACGTGGCATTTACAGGCAGTGCTGGGAAGCAAGGGAAAATGTTTCCAATAAAGCAGTCAAAAGGAGATGATCACTGGAGCCTTCCTGATTTTTAAGAGCTGCTCCTGCCAAGTGAATAGCACAGCATCACTACAACATGTGGGATCGGGTTTTCTCTTTCTCACTGCTGCTGTCAATGAGCTTGTCAGTGAATGCAGATCGACTCACCTTGGGCTAGGTTTTAGACTGATGTTTCCTGCTGCAGTGAAGGTGGTTTACAGGTTTATTGTGTTTTGTCCTCATAGGTGTTGGAGGGAATCTGGTCGCCATCCAGGCCAGCCGTATTTCTACATTCCTGCATTTCTGGAGCATGCCTGGAGTTTTGCCATACAAGATGAGGCAGAATTGGCCCAACCCATGCACCACATTCTTCTCATCAGGTAGACCTTGAACCCTACATGTCCATGTCTCAAGGTCTGTCATCACAGATAGCTCTTTTATCAAGCCTGGTTGGCAAAGGACTAGGTGGGTTTCAAAGGCAGAACTCCCTTTTCCCCTTACAGGGAAGATACTCAGATCGGAGAGGAAGCATCTTTGCAGTGGGCAGCTTGGAAAAAAGCATGTGGTATACTTGCTTACTGGCATGCAAAGAAACTGGCCTTCAGGGAGCACTAAAGAAAGTAATTGAAAAAGAATCTCAGATTTGATCTAATAGAAAGTCATTTTAACCGTGGCCAGCCTAGAGCCATTACCTGTAGACAGAGGGGTGAATAGAACATAACATTACTGAAGATTAGCAATTCCTCCATTTTCAGCAATGGACAAACCTAAGCATCAGCAAAACTGGCTTTGGGTCTGTTGTCTTTTTAGATTGCAGGTTCCTCTCGATTTTCCCTGCTAAGTTGGAAGTTGGGAGTTACTGCTAAAAACAAACTAAAAACTGGGAAAGTGAGTTGCAGCAAGGCTGAGCAGAAGCAGTGGGAGGCAGAAAGCAGCTGAGAGGCGTGTTTGGAAGAAGTGGATTGGATCAGCATGGAGCACGTCTTTGGCACGTAGTTTCAGCGCTAGACAAAGCTTCTGGGCTGGTACTGCAGATTGCTGCGTGAACTAGAAGAGGTGGTAGCAATGTGGTTGGTGGGAGGGGACAGCCCCAAGTCTATGCATTAAAATATGCAGCTGCATCCTGTCCTGCCTCCACCGTCTGCAGCTGCTGTCATCGCTGTTTCTGTCTCTGTCCTCTGCAGAGGTGAATTCCAAGTCGGCCCGAGTCCTGTTTCTCCTGGTTATCCCAGGGCACCTCGTGTTTCTCTACACCATCCATCTGCTGCAGGGAGGCCACACGTCTCTGTCCTTCACCTTTGTGATGTTCTATCTGACTGCTGCTTTGCTGCAGGTAAACCCCAAACTCTCATCCAAAAGGAACCTCTCAGATACCATGAAAACAAAGCATTCTTCAGGCTAAACAGGAGTCACAGTAAAACTTCCAATAGCGGCCCACATTTCCAATCATTTCAGGGTGCTTCCTACCAAGCATCATGTATCTTCTGTGGGTCCAGTAATACTTCACCCAAATTGCCACTGTCTGGTTTCCCATATGACCACAACTTCCCTTAAGGGTGAGTGAGGGGTCAGACATGAGATGAGGATCAAGTTATCATCATCTGCAGAGCTGCAGTAAGTGTGCAGACACACACTTAGCAAGGAGGTACCTCTTGCTGTAGGTGGTTCCTTGTTTTATCATGTTCACTCCTTCAGTCTCTAAGCCCCATAATATTTCTAGACTGCCACTGGTCATCACAGTAAGGGGCAAGTGAAAGGCTGTGAACCCCAGCCAGCAGGTTTCCTCACTCATTTTGGAAACCAGTTTCACATATCATGGTGAAGACCTAGCAATCCCTCTGGGCAGGGGCCATATGGATCAAAAGCAAAGGGAACACCCAGGCCTGAGAAGTTCATCTTCAAAAGTAAAAGTTCTGGGCAGGCAACGGGCAGTTTATCCAATTTGGCCTACCTGTTCCCTTTTGTTGTTTTGCCTGCCCTGTAAACTTTGTTGTCTCACTCAGAAATGCATGCGGCTGTTGCTTGAACTCACAGAGCCTCTGACTTCGCTTGCCCTTTTAAATCAGTGATTCATTAATTTGCAGGGTGAGGTAGCTGACTTCTCGCTTCGCCTTACAAGCAGCCTCGTGTCTGGGGGTGAATTCCTTGCATGTGTAAACAATCAGTTTTTCTCGACCTTTGCACAACCCTAAGCCCAGCAGCACAGCCATACTTGTAAAGGAAAATATTTATTCTTCTCTTTATGCATCGAGGTAACGCCTCAACCAGAGCCAAGCATGAAAATACACAGAATAAATGACGGTGTAAAGAGCAGAATCCCAGCAATGCCACTGACCCCGAAAGATTCCCATGGAGGCCAGCGAAGAATACACTCAGCCTGGTTCTTTCTTCCCCTCCATTATACTTTAGAGAGAAAAAAAGAAAGAAAGAGAGGGGGAAGTTTGGGTCAGATGGAGTAAGCCCAAAGAGAAAGATCAGAAACCTAGAAAACATGACCTCAGAGGAACGATTGAATGGACTGGGGTTAGCTAGGCCAAAGAAGAGAGGCTTGAGAAAAATCTGGTTAACAGCCTTTAAACTACCAAGTTTCTGTAGGGAGGGGCAGAATAACATTTTCTCTGTGGTCACTAGGGATGAAACATGAAATCATGGGTTTCAAATGGAAAAAGGCAGATTTATGTTAGACCTTGGGAAAAACAAGAACAGGAAAAAAAAAACCGCCATGGGACTGATTTGTTAGTGTGGCACCTCCGTCGTTGAGGGTTGTTTAGCATAGGTTAAACAAATGACTGTCAGGAAAGATGCAGACATGTTTGATCCTGTATTGAGGCAGAGGAATGGTCTATATAAAACTCCTGAGTTTCCATCCAGCTTTAGTTTCAGTGATTCTGTTATTTAATTGGCTTCCCCCATCTCTCCTCCTCCCTCTCCCCCCATCCAGCTTGTAGTTTTCACCTTTAGAAAAGCCACTTCTGGCTTTGGTTCCTGTTGTGTTGTGGTCTCCCATGGAGGGACCACAGATGTGGGGTGCAAACTCTCTCTCCCTTCTTAATTCAATTAAGACGACAGTCTTTAATCTTTAACCAAAGTATTTTTTTTCCTCCATCTGTTTATCAGAATCAGGAATGAAATAGGAATTAAAAGAAATCACAACAAAGATTTTAAAACTGTTGAGATGAAAAAAAAAAATTATTTTCTTTTTTTTAACATGTCAGTGCTGCTTGGGATAACTTTGATGTAAAAACTGCCTCAAACTCCAGTTGTCCACTGAGACTTTTAGGAAAAACAAAGTAGACGCAATCTGAATTTCTAATGGAAAAAAGAAAGATGAAGAGAAAAAATCTGGCTGCAGACTTACCCTTTGGGGCTGCCTGCATATTCGCAGCAGCCCTGTTTCTGGTGGAGTGAATGGGAGCACTCCCATTCATGGCATGGGAGGTGGAAACTGTACCTTTGGGAGATGCTTTTGGTGTGGCCAGATTCCCGTTTTGGGCCATGCGATGCTGGTGAGCAGTTCAAGCGTGGTCCCCACACTTACGGCTGGCAGCACAGGGCCATGGCACCATAGGCAATGCCAGGCAATGCAGTGCCCAAAGGCATGAGCCAGCTACACCCATCCCAGCGCACCTCCATCCCGCAGAGACACAGCGGTTCTCTGGGGGAGGTGTTAACTCTCGGCAATCCCTGTTAGCTCTGGTACCTCCGCTGTGGCCACGTCATTTTGGCTGTGAGCTGCGGGAGGCTGTGCATTACCTTGCTGCCTCACAGCAAGGTCTGTCTTGCCTCTCCTCAGGTGGGAATCCTGCTCTACATGGCCGACCTAATTGTGCGCCTGATGTGGAGGAAGGCACTGGATCCGGATAATTTCTCCATCCCCTACCTCACTGCCCTGGGGGATCTCCTGGGCACTGGATTCCTGGCCGTCTGTTTCCGCCTGGTTTGGCTTATCCACGGTGCAGACATGAACCTGGGGAACTGAGAGACCATGCGCTGCTCTGCATCACTCATGCGACACGGTGCTTTCCTCTGGGACAACGGGGTACTTGGCAATAAGCGCTGGGTCACCCAGCTGGATTGGGCCTCCCTTGCTGCCCCCGATGCCCCCTCTCTCCTCCCCATCGTGCCTTATAGCTGGGCTCGCCCGCCCCGAGGAATCAGCACCCACAGACTTGCGCCCTCGCAAGTGAGCAAGCCAGTTTTAAGCAGCACCCGCTGCTTACATCTGCGCCTGGCAGACAAGGCATTAAGGAGCATTTGGGCCATTGGTAATGAATGAGCATTTTGATCCGTTTCAGTCCCTAGCACGGACACAGCCTGCGAGGCCGCTTCAAAGCCTGCCAAGGTCACTGCATCTGATCATGCAAGTGAATGTCGCATCCTCTCCGACTTTCCATGAAGGGAGATTCTTTATGTGCCCCCCCTTTACTTTCCCATCGCATCCCTGGAGGAGGAGAGCAACCAGGTCTTTAAACTTGTTTCCTCTCCATCGCTCAGACGCTCAGGATCTGACACAGTGAGCTCCTTGCTGGCTCACACCCAGCGGGAGGTTATCTAGGGATACCACCTACCTGCCCTGGCAGCATCACTGTTGTCTGACCAACAAGCTGGATTGATTGCATTTTGAGGGTAGGAAAGTTTGTTTTTACAGTTTATGAAATGTCCAGTAGTTAAAATGTTTATAGAAACACATTCACAAATAAAGTGGTTAAAAAAAGGTAATGCTGTGGATTTGGGGGTTGTTTTTTCTTGCTATGGCTCTGCCTGTTTCTACTTCAGACTTGTCAGGTTGAACTTCTTGCTCACTTTGTCATCCATTCAGGGTTAGACAGCACAATTTTAATAGGGCTTCAGGTAAATTGGTGTTTCCTAACCAAGAGCAGCCTTTTGCAGCCCCCATGTTTCAGGTTAGAACTAAAGCCCATTCCCCCTCCCACAGTCACCATCCACTCATTAAGAATTGCTTTGCGACGAGTCTGGAATCTGTGTGTGTGCATAAGGACTGTGTTGGGCTGGGTGACGATTTGGCATGAGGATTTGGCAAATGACTCCTTAGGTCCTTGCTCCAGGGTGGGTATCTTGTGCTGCCAGGAACACGTCGGGGAAGCTCGTGGGGCTGAAAGCAGCCAATTCCCACTGAAATCGAACATGCAGTAGGGTCCTCCAGATAATAAGGTGCCCAAGAGTCAGGAGTTGAAGACATGGATCAAACTGTTGAAAAATGCCACTAGGCCTCAACTTTAATAATAATCTGCCTTTGCATGTCTTGGAGGAGGGAAAGGGGGAGGTCAAGTCCCCCAGCCTGCTGGCAGACAGATGCCTTGTTCAAGGACTTGCCAGCTCTTAAACACTTAAAGTTGAGCTGTGTTGGGTGCCTACTGGCCTTGAGTGTTTCTTTGCTCCCAGTGTTGCTCTCATCTCCCAGAGCTGCTGCAAAGCTGAGACTTCTGCACAGGATCAACACGTGGCTGAAGGTGCGTAACAGCAAAAGCTGTTCAGCTCTGGGCTGCCAGGCATGGGGAAAAGCACTCCCTGAAAAAAAAAAAAAAGCTGTCGCCTCCCCCCTCTCCAAGCCTCCTCTTCCTTTTTTTGTTATGAAGGATGAATTACCCCACGCTGGCTGAGCTGGAGAGTATGCGCACACCAGCTTCATGGTGGGGGAGATTTCAGCATTCAAGGCACATGTTCCCCCGTCTTGGGCCTCGCTGCTTTATCTCTGGCTGCAGCCTGTGTGCTGTCAGCTCTGCTCGGCTGCGCTGCCGTTGGCCCCGAGCACCCACGTGTGATAATTGCACCCGCAGCAGCTGAGGCAGCTTGTGGGGAAAGCAAAGCAAGCATCTGATTGCTGGTCCCAGTTTGAGGGGGCTGCATTAGGAGATATGTACATATATATTTTAATAACTTGAGCTTAGTGTTTTATTTTGTAAACCTTTATTAGCTCCAATTTGGCACTCGCTTGAGCAGTCCTGGCAAATAACTTCTCGTGCCTCAACACCGTCTTTTCTCCTCCTTGCTGCATGTACCCACTGCCTTGGAGAGGTCCTCTCCGGACCTTGATGCTTTTGCTGCTGGCGTGAATCAGGTAAGGCTGGTCCTAAGGCAAGGCTGGTCCTAAGGCCAAGCTGCTGAGGACCACCCCAGCCCTCTGCAGGGTCCCAGACATGTGAAACTCCATCTTTTGATAGCACAGACTTGCCCCTGGTCCAATCCCCCAAAAGCCCCATACTGGAGCCCATGGCTGGTGCAGACTGCAAGGGACCCCAGTCACCCTCCTCCAGCATCAATTCCTAGTGCCCAACAGATGGCTGCTCCTCTGCCAGGTGATTGCCACAAAGCCCTGGTGTGTTCCTTCATCAGGGGGCTTCTGGGCAGAGCTCGGCTTGTTCTGGTTTTCACTGTTGACACAGGACACGGATGGGAACACGTAATGGATGCCATCTGTGTCCTACTTGTGGCACCCAGCTGGGCCGGGGTGACCTATGCTGTACCTTGCCTGCGCAGGGTTTGGGGGTTCCCCCCTTGCAGGAGGCGTTGGGGCTATGGGCTGGTGTGGGGAGATTACAAAGGGCACAGCAAGATGTGCTGTTCTCCAGGGTACCCCTTGGTGGGCAGCCAAGCATCAGCCTCGTGCCCGTGCACTTAGTGCAGGGAATGCACTTAAAACTGAAAATTGCTTCCAGCTTCAAGAGAAATGATATAACCAAAGGAAATGGTTTCAATAAAAGGGGATTTTTTTTTTTCCTTTTTTTAAGGGCAGTGAAAGGCTAGTTACTTGGCTGTTCAGCCTGTTTACTCTTTCTCTTTCCTCCTTTCCCTGCCCAAATGAGAAAGGGCCTTTGCTAACAAAGGTTATAAGTAACCCTGGAGCACGGCTTGGATCAGCGTTTCTGTAACTCCATCTGAACCTGCTCCTCCAAGAAAGCACCCCCGGCCCTTCCAGTGAGCGGGCAGCGCTGCGTGGGCAGCAC